CGCTAGAAAACTGAAAAACTCGCTGGAAACTAGATAAACTTTAAACATTCATAACTTCTTCAATACTCAACGAAATCGAGTGATTCAAAAACAAAAATCATACTTCTTGATGAGACGAAGAGAATGGTACCTTTTTTGAAGGCTAACTCGCCATTTTTGGCCGGAAACGGCTCGAAAGTGGCTAACCATTTTCGAGTTAGCCACTTTTGAGCCATTTTTCGGCCAAACCATGACGAGTTAGCCATCTAAAAAGATACTATTCTCTTCGTCTCGTCAAGAAGTATGATTTTTGTATCGAATCACTCGATTTCGTTGAGCATTGAAGAAGTTATGAACGTTTAAAGTTTACCTAGTTTCTGGCGAGTTTTCCAGTTTTCCCGCAGATTAGTCATGTTTCAGGCTATTTTCTAGCCATCTCTAGCAACCATTGGGCTTCGAAATAGGTATAATCTTATTCTACACTTTCCTATGTTCATTTTGATATATTATGGGTCAAATTTGGTTAAGAATCGGAATGACCAAAATCATGAATAGTGAACAATTTGAGAGACCATTTCTATTGATTTTCAATTTCAGGGACTATTTTGGCTATTTAGCCATAATATTATGACCTCATATTAATACAATTTTGTGTATAAATCCTTGTATAGGTTGTGTGCCTATTAATTTTTCCATAAACTGGGCAATTTCAAAATTTTCAGATACTCCTCTCTAAACTTCTCGCTCCGTAATTCGTTGAGAGGCCAATAAAGTTGCTCCTCGCTTTGCATTCTTTGGATTGGCCTTGTCCTCAGAGAAAACTTGTTTCGAGGAACCACCAGTTGCCATTTTCGATGTTTCTAGTCTGAGTTTGTAAGAGGCTGTTCACATTTTCTCTACTTCTCTTGCTAGCTTGTTTAAACCTCTTATATCAATGAATTCCGATTTTCATATAAAAAAAAAAACAAAAGACCTCTTTCTACTCTATTTTTTTTTCTTTTTCTTTTTTGTCTGAGTTTCATTTGGTTTAGGGAATATTGTACTAAAAGTAATGCTAGGTAGAACAAACTTTTAAATCAAATTTGTAAATCATATGATATGTCATTATAGAAAATAAACACGTTAATCAATACTTAAGTAATAATTCAATTATCAACAACCACGTCATATTGTTTACAAAATTTAATTTAAACATTGGTCTCTCGAGTATTACCCTTGTACTAATTCACCCACTTAATTACTTTTACAGTTTTACCCACCAATCCATTAACATATAGGGCATTAATCTTTACCCATCATGATAAAATAATGCAGCGCATGCCCACCAAATCCATATACCAACTCTTTACTTTCTTCATAGTTAAAGAGTTGAAGCTGAAGAAATTGGTAGAAACGTACAATCTTCCTAAAAAGAAATCTAGGGAGAGTTAAACTTCATAGACAACATTAGCAAGTATATAAGTAAGTTGTTGGGTATAAGACGAGAAAATAAACAAAAAAGGCTAGGAATTAATTAAGGGGTTTCATAACACCATCATTATATCAATCATTAAACTCATGCTCAGTGTCTCTTTTAACAATTGATATACCAATGAGAGAATGAGAGAATGAGAGAGAGAAAAGCTGGCATTTTAGACCATTTTCAACAGAAATGTCAAATTATAAGATAGACCCAGCAGTTTCTGATATAACACGAAAATAACGGGTTTTGGATCAACACGATGACTAATCGGGTTATTATCGGATGACCCGTTAAGAACTTGTTAACGTGTATACACGTGGGTTCCTATTTCGATCCGTTAAGAAAAAAAATTATTTTGATAATTTTAAAGTTTAATTACCAAAAAATTTATTATAAAGTACAATAGCCATATTAATATATACAATGTATTCTATATTAAATATATAGTTTTGTATTATTATTCTATATAAGTTTAAAAAAAAAGTTTTAGTCATTATTTATTTTTATTATGAGAGTTCCTTATTATCATTATTACTAGGATAAATTTTACTTAACATGTTGTCCAAAATTAAAATAAACTAGTATAGTATTTGTATAGGCAAGAACTAAGAAGACATACATACAAGTATGAAAAATGTGAATGAATATATAAACACTCGTGATTCATCATTATTCGTTCACAAGTAGATAATGGTTATACGTACATTATTGTTTAGATTTTTAAAATTCTCCAAACCCTCATGAATAATGTTTTTTTTTAGGGCAAAATTAATAAAAATTATTGTAGAAGCGTAAAAAATGTAAAATATATATATATATATATATTTATATATATACAATCACTCATAGTGACAAGCTTTACAAGTTTCATGAAGGGGTCAGCTTTGAAATCCAACACTATAATCCATAAACTTTAAATTTATATTTAACCGTCGATTGTCATTTACGCTTTATTCTTCTTAATAAATTTCATTTTTTGAAAACATGATCATCTGGCGGATGTAAGAAGATGAATGGTTTAGATCTTTGATATCACGTTTCGATATTTATGATTAACTAAAATATGAGTCGATGTCATATAGTTTGTAAAAACTTTATTAACATCAAGCAATATTTTCACTAACTGTAAAACTTTGAATATAATATCAATGATCCAAACTGTTTATCTTCCTGCATCCTCTAATAGATCATATTTTCAAAAAAGAAAATCTGAAAAAACAAAATTTGATGAGAACAATGAAACGTAAATGTAAACAACAATCAACGGTTAAATTTTGATAAATGATTTATATGATTATAGTGGCGAATTTCGAAGTTAAGCTCTTCATGAAAGTTGTAAAGCTTGTTATTACGAGCGTTTATATTTTTTTTTTTCTATATTCTTCACACTTCTACATTAATTAAATAACTATTAAAGGCTTTACTTAATTAATTAAGTTATTAATTAATTTATACCCATTTTGTTTCAGAAGCAATGAATGCTAGAGATTCAGAATTAGTAAACCTTAGTGATGTTGAGTCCGTGGAGATTATAATGGGAATATAACGAGATCTTGGAAGCGAAAATATAGACAATACAAATACAAGTCTTGCAAAGAAAAAGGCTAGAGCAATTAATTTAGGTAAGCAAAAATATACTTAAAAGAAAAATGTGTTTTTATGTTTTGAATGTGACAATATGACATGTATATACTTATTTAGTATTATGTCTTTCATTTGATTATTTATTGGTTTAAAATATATTTTCCTTAACTGTCACATCCCCGCCCGGCCCCCACCACATCCCGAGCTCAACTCCACATTAGTATGATATTATCCGCTTTGGGCCCCGACCACACCCTCATGGTTTTATTTCCGGGAACTCACACGAGAACTTCCCAGTGGGTCACCCATCCTGGGATTGCTCTCACGTGAACTTGCTTAACTTCGGAGTTCCAATGGAACCCGAAGCCAGTGAGCTCCTAAAAGGCCTCGTGCTAGGTAGAGATGAGAATATACATATAAGGCTTACATGATCCACTTCCCTGGGCAATGTGGGATGTAACATTAACGGGTAACAGGTCAAGTCATATTACCTGTTAATATTATCGGGTTGATTTCGGCTTGGGTCCTTTTATCTGTTTTTTTTAACGGGTGTTACACGACACGACCCGTTAAGATATCGAGTATGACACGAAAACGATACGAACACGAAAAACATGACACGAATGCTAGGTCTATTATAATAGTCAAATTACAATTGATGGTTGGTGTGACAATTTGAAGTCTTATGTCAAATTTTGTACTTCTCCAACCCAATTGTCAAATGCTATTTTATTATTTAAATAGAGTTTTAATTGATTGTAATTATTAAAAAATGTTGAAACAAAATTTTTATTGATTGAAATGTTAATGGAATAAGGGACCCACTATTAAAATGAATTAAAAATAAATTTAACATCAAATCACTAAGTCTTCAAATCCAATCAGCAAATAACACTTCGGTTGGAGAGACTTTTGATGTGAAATATGCACAGTGGTATTCCACTTAGGATTTTGACATCTCTTTTGCAGATGCACTTAGAAATGTGTACTTCTTATGTTTGTTTTTTTATGGTCATTTTATGAGTGATATTTGTCAGAAGTTTTTTGTGTTTGTGTCCGTCATTTGTTAAATGATGGAAATTGTATTGATTCTGTCGAAAATGTATAGACATAACATGTCCAAACATTTTACTCTTGAAATTTTATCAACGACTGATCTATACTACATATATTGAAAGTTCGTCACTGAATGAAGAATGAAAGTCGAAGATCTAAGTCAATAATATAGTTACCGGATTTAGTCTGACTCATATGTGTTTTGAACTACCGCAGAAACACTTCTAAATTTTCTACCAAATATAGTCAATATCATTTTTAGCTGACGAAAGCAATCCCAAATAACACAATGACGAATTTTTGTGACATAAACATTGAATTGCTTCCAACAAAAGCATGAAAGGCTTTACATGGAAATGGATGCCTATAGTAATTTATCACTCTATTTGGAAATAAAGAAAGACTTACTGGCTGTATTTCTCATATCAATGCACCAAAAACAAATTCATGACAGCTTCATGCCAGCAAGTGTATCACTACAGATCCATATATATTTTGATTCACATTGAAAAAATTATTAAATTACTTGTATCTCCTAGTTTAAGATAATGGTTTATAAAAAGTCTTCCCTTATTGCGTAAACGTGTTTAAGTTTTGTCATTAAATATAGTATGAAAATGAGTTTGCAATTCTTAAAATTGACAAAAATAAGACCTAGAGAATCATTGAACATTCATTGTCAATCTTAATTAAACTAATAGTAACTACATGCAAGTGGGGGACTGTCTAAGGTATGGCATTCCTTTTCAATTTGTAGAGTTTTGGGTTCGTACTGTTCTCCCTCCCCTTGATGTAGTAAAATCGAAATCGTTGTAATAAAATAAAAAGAGGTTATTAAAAATAAATAAATAAGTAACTCGTAATGCCTATATATGTGGGCTCAAATCTCACACCAATTCATAAATGCAGAGCAAATAAATATGGAGATCTCGAATGTAAAAGTACTTCAGCTACTTCTCTTCATCCTTCTCAACTTACTTTGTTATACAACTTCAAACTCAAATTCCCAAAGATTTCTTCAATGCTTTTCCTCCAACATAAATTCTAACCCATCAAGCAAAATCATTCTCACCAAAAACTCTCCTGCTTACTTCTCAGTCTTGCAATCTTCTATACAGAATCTCCGATTCTTGAACAATTCAACACGAAAACCACTAGCTATCGTTACTCCCTTTCAGTACTCTCATGTTCAAGCAGCGGTAAAATGCTCCGAGAAAGAAGGCATACAAATAAGAAGCCGAAGCGGGGGGCATGACTACGAGGGTCTGTCTTATGTATCCAAAACTCCTTTCATCATCATTGATCTTTTCAATCTTCGTTCCATTGATATTGAAATAGAGAATGAGAGTGCTTGGGTCGAATCAGGTGCTACTCTGGGAGAGTTGTACTACGCAATTGCACAAAAGAGTAAAGTGTATGGATTTCCAGCAGGGACATGTCCAACCGTTGGTGTAGGGGGACATATTAGTGGAGGTGGACATGGTACCATGTTCAGAAAATATGGCCTTGCAGCTGACAATGTCCTTGATGCTAAGATTGTCGATGTCAATGGAAGAGTTCTTGACAGAAAATCCATGGGAGATGAGCTCTTTTGGGCTATTCGAGGAGGTGGAGGCTCAAGCTTTGGAGTCATTTTGGCATGGAAGCTTAGGTTGGTTCCTGTTCCTGCAACCGTAACAGTTTACTCAGAAGCAAGGACCATTGAACAAGGTGCAACCAAACTTATTTTTAAATGGCAAGCTATAGCAGACAGGATTCCTGAAGAGTACGTCCTGCGTTTGGTGTTCCAAGTCACAAACGGAGCTGGTACAAATGAGGGAAAAACTATTCAAGTTATATTCAATTTCGTGTTTCTCGAGTCTGTTGAGAAACTTCTCCCTTGGATGCAAGAAAATTTCCCAGAGTTGAGTTTAGACAAGACCAAATTCAATGAAATGAGTTGGATTGAGTCTGTCCTATATATTTCTGGCATCCCAAGAAACGAATCAGAAACTTTGCTTCAGCGGACGCAACAATCGAAGGGATTCTTCAAAGCGAAATCAGACTATGTTACTGAACCAATTTCAGAAGCTGGCTTGGAAGGTTTATGGGAAAGACTTCTTCAGCTAGAGATATTCCAGTTGATACTGACACCTTTCGGAGGAATAATGAGCGAGGTTTCTGATTCAGAAATTCCTTTCCCACATAGAAAAGGAACTTTATTTGAAATCCAGTATTTGGTCAGTTGGGGTGATGATAAAGAAACTGAGAAACATATTGGCTCGATGAAAAGGCTGTACGAGTACATGACACAATATGTTTCGAAGTCCCCGAGAGCTGCCTATTTGAACTATAGAGATCTTGACTTGGGGACGAACAAAAACGGTAACACGAGCTATGCACAAGCAAGCATTTGGGGTTTGAGGTATTTTAAGAATAACTTTAGGAGACTAGTACATGTGAAGACTTTAGTTGATCCTGAGAACTTCTTCAGGAATGAGCAAAGCATCCCGGTGTTACAATCTGGGGAGAAATAGAATGTCAACAACATGCTTGGTTCCTCATTTCATAATACTAATGAATAATGAACGGTAAGTTCTAGCTTTACTTCGTCCCGTTTTGTGATTGTATAATTTGTTCCTAATCTATTGCCTCCTAAAGTTTGTACGTTTTATTCTTATTTATTTTTTGTGAGTGATAACTGTCAGGATTTTTGTGCTTGCAAGAATTGTAAATGGAAATAGTATCTTCCTCCTTCCAATTTACACAAGCGACAGAGCTGGTACTGGATAGCCAAGGCTAGCGTGCCTCAAACAATGAATACCACAGTACTTCTCCTAAAGCTTACGCCATTAAAGTTGAAGCAGTCAAAACATTAGGGCTCATTTAATCACCATTTCGTATTGGTTATTAATATCGCTTTTTGAGTTAGTGATGCAGAGAAAGTACATAGAAAAAAAATTAGGAATGAAGAGGAGTGTATGAATGATGGTGGGAGCGCGAGAAAGAAGAAATGTACAAAAAAGGGCACAATAATTGACAAGTAAAAAACAGAAAGAAAAACTATTTCAAGTTATTATTTTCAAGGTACAAGTGAAAACCAACGAAAAAAACGTAATAGCTATCAAATTGGCTCTTAAGGTGGCAAACCTACTGGCTATATATTGTGAAAGGAAATTTTATTTAAACCCACACAATTTTTTTTTACACCCAACTTACTCTTACACCCTTATTATTTTTAATTAAACTGTCAATATCTCTTTAAACCTAAATTTACTATCTAAATTACCCTCACAAACCCAACCAATATGTAAAATTATCTTTACACTCATTCAAAAAATAAAAAATAAAACTCAAAGCATACATATTCTCCTCTGAAGTTTTTACCTTCCTACATATCCGTCGTATTTTCTTTCAATCCTCCGTCGCTTTGCAAGAACACACCACTCTTAGCATCAAACACATCAGAATTTAAAACGTTGAACTGTCCATGTGGACAATAACAAATAGAAACAATATTTCTTTTTTTTTTTTTTTAATAATCAATATTATCTACACTAAGAGGGAGGGGGTGGGCTTAGCCTCATAATGGGACAGTAATAATGTGGTTCCAATTTGCTTTTAACGAGAATCGAACCTAATACCTCTCACTTACAAGTGGAGAGAAATATCACTATACCATAGTACTAAGTGGCAAGCAAAAACAATCTTGGGGACTAGGTTTTGAATCCTTTGAAGCCAAAAATGAATTCGGACTAGTTAGATAAGAGAAACAACACGCCCTTATCAATCCAATTTATACGAATCCATAATGGTGGATTAATCATGCCATAATTTTGAACCAAAGCCAGGCAAGTTTCCGAAGTGAGAAGAATAATAGACAAAAATGGTAAGCCAGTACTGAAATGGTTCAAATGAATGAAGTTTTGATCCCCCATTGCTACTACGAAATAGAGCTAGGATTTTAAAGTTCGGAGATTAAAGAGCGACACAACTGACCAAATTACAGTATATAAAAGGTTCAGGAACTGAATCTATCACATTCTCACTCTAAACATAATCCCCAATTAGGATTCTTTTACCTAGAATAGTTTCCAGCTGTTTGTATAAATCCTTATATTTGTTGTACAAAGATATATCAATAAAATCACCAATTCTACAATTTCAAACATAATAAAAAAAAATATTATTACAACTCCAACGAAAGCATATAAACTTTGCCTGTCAAGCTGAACCAAGAGAGACATGAACATGCGCGTGAAGAAAAAAGAAACATTTTACTGATGATCGTCTAGTCTTCCACTTTTACTTTGTCTAGATTCTAGTGAGTTTATGCATTCAAATCTTACAAACAGAGTTAATGTAGAATTAATTGAAAAACAAAACTTGCACAAACCGAAAATAGCTTATTTTATTTGAGAGCATCCTAGGATTTTAGGCAAAATAGAACATAAGAGAAAGATTGTGTGATAGTAATATAAGGTGTGAGTTTATTGATAAATTTTAGTTTTATAGCTAATTTTAATTTGTACTTGATCGTAATTATGCAATAAGGTAAAAAAAATTTCACATTTAAAATTTAAGTTAGATGTAAAAAAAGGTTAGGTTCTCATTGTGAAATCAATTATTGGTGATGGAAAAAAAAATTAGATTGAAACTTTGAAAGAAAGATAGGAATGTGGTTGAAACTAGTTGAGAAAATATGAAATTGTGGTGTAAGAAGATAATGAGAAGGTATTTATAGAAAAGTAAAATCAAATTTTTGTTTAATTTTTTCATTTTTTTTTCTTTCTGATTTATAATAATTTTTACATTTTTTTAATTTTTATTCACCTAATTAATCTCTGCCGTTGGATTAAAAATTTTGAATTTCCAACACTCCAGATTGTGCCACATGGCACAACTGTAACATTTCAAAATTTTAAATTGTTTTTTCTTTTTTTTTTTAATTTCCATAGCCTAATAACGTGGACCGTTGATCTCAGATCCAACGACTGAAATTAAATGAGGTTTTTAATTTTTTTTTTTTACCTTTGAAAATTCAACGGTCCATAAAATATAGCCGTTGAAATCCAACGGACATGGGGAAGCCACGTGGCCTCCCCAACGGTAAGAAATATGAGTGGGCCGCGGGCCCTATTTCTGAATTTATGTCTCCTAACGCGTGCCCACATGCGCTTGAAGGCCACGCGCTTTACAGAAAAAAAATAAAAAAAGCAGCTGACGTCACACCCACTTCGGACTCTCGGGCTGGCAACTCGTGCCAGGCCTCTTCCCCGGGCTGGACCTGTCCCTCGGGCTACCACACACTGGACCAAATCAGTCGGGCTCTCTAGCCCTGTTCACGGGCCTGTGCCCAGACCAAAAGCTCCCGAGCTGCTCTAAGAGCAACTCCATTGCATCGAATTGGCTTCGCAATTGGGTGATTCAATCTTTCAAACCCAAGAAAAAGAGCAGCAACCCATCCAAATCAGTTGGGCGATTTATTAGGCCCAACAGCCCCAGACCGAGCGATCGGGCCATTCTCGCCCATCTATACACTTGAGGTGATATGATGTCATGCTCACGTCACCCACGAACTTCGAGTCAGCCGATCAAACAGCAACCAAGACACTGCCGCCTCCTTCGAGCGGAAGGTCTTGATATCCAGATCCGTCAACTTCGGAAGTACAAAAGCCGAGTTGCAGAGAGAATAGTGAGGGGAGGAGGTGAGAGAGAGAGAGAGAGTGTGTTGGTGACGATCGATGGTGTTAGTGGTGGAATTGGGATCGTAGTCGATTCATATCTGATGGGACTGGTCAAGTTTGAGGGTGACTGGTGAAACCTCTCCATGCCGATCAGCGACGGCGTAGGCACAATTGACCCAACTTCGTCAAATACTTGTGTTCGTGCATGGCGTTGTATTGTGTGGTTTGGCTGATTGGTGATTGCCATCTTTGCACTTGGTTTTTTGTGTGTTCATAATAGTCCATTGATTACAAGGTTCTGTTAGAGGGGCTTTTTTTTTTTTTTTTTCATATACAATTACAAACAAATATTCTTAATTATTTTATTTGATGCTGGTGTATATTTTCGGGTTTAGAATCCAGCATCAGCCTGACTTCGAGGATAGAGGATTGAGCTTGCTGACTCATAGAGTCATAAACAAAACATTGATTTGCTGCTGATTAGCTGTCCAAACAATAATGGAAGCACTTCCCTCATATAAATTGAAAGTGGTGCTATATATACAATTATTTTTACTTCTCCATGTGTCTCCTGATGACATTGTTGGTATGATTATTTAATTTTTTGTGTCCCCTATTTTAAAGTATTAGAATACTTAAAATTATTTAGAATGAGAATGGCTAACATGAAACAAATTCATCGTTACTGTGATATCTTGATCTAATAATATAAAACTATGTTTAAATTAATGCATATTTGATCAGAATGTCATGTGGCCATAAATCCGTCCATTTTTTTAATTATAAATGGCTTTCAATCTTATGTATTCTTTTACACATGCTTTAGTCCTTAAAGGACCACTTGTTACTTGTTTAATACTAAAATCAAAATTAGAGAAAACACATCGAATCTGAACCTTGACTGTGTCTTCAATGGACATTCTATATATACTAAAAGCCGGTGGATTGTCACTGTTCATTAACAGTGCTCCACCGGTTTTGCCCCTCTTTCTCTTCATGTTTTTTCAGCTTTGGTGGGGTTGAATGGTGAATTGGCCACTTTGCCCCTCTCTCATTTTTCTTTCCGTCCGTGCGTGCGTGTTGTGTTTTCTAGTCTAACTACCTAAGTGAGCTAAGAGGATGCAAAAATGGTGATCTTATTCTTACCCATGAAACTACTCCCACTTCTTTTCTTACTTTTCAATTCAGTTATGTCCACAACTCTAAGCTCATCAGCTACAGAGAGCTTTCTTCAATGCTTTACCTCCCACATACAGTACCATTTCAACCCAAGTGATGATATCAGCAAAATCATCATCACAAAAAACAACTCTAATTATTCTTCAGTCTTGCATTCTTCTATACACAACCTCAGATTCTGGAACACTTCAACTCCGAAACCAGAAGCTATCATCGCTCCTTTTCACTACTCTCATGTTCAAGCAGCTGTAATCTGCTCCAAGAAGGAGGGCATACTTATTAAAACACGCAGCGGTGGCCATGACTACGAGGGGGTATCTTATGTATCCGGAACTCCTTTCATAATCATTGATCTTTTCAATCTCCGGTCTATCGATGTTGACATAGAGAATGAGAGTGCTTGGGTCGAGGCAGGTGCTACTGTCGGAGAGCTGTCTTACGCAATTGCGCAAAAGAGTAAACTCTATGGTTTTCCGGCAGGAATTTGTCACACAGTTGGTGTTGGGGGGCATATTAGTGGAGGTGGACATGGTACATTGTTCAGGAAATTTGGTCTAGCAGCTGACAATGTCCTTGACGCTATGATTGTCGACGTTAATGGCAATGTTCTGAACCGAAAATCCATGGGAGAAGAACTCTTTTGGGCTATTCGAGGAGGGGGAGGCTCAAGCTTTGGAGTCATTGTGGCATGGAAACTTAGACTGGTACCTGTTCCTACATCTGTAACTGTTTATAGGGAATCGAAGACCATAGAAGAAGGTGCAACCGAACTTCTTTCGAAATGGCAAGCTATAGCAGATACGATTCCTGAAGAGTACTTCTTGCGTTTGGTTCTACTTGCGAATCAGGATGGTACAAATGGCGGAAAAGTTATTACAGTTTTATTTGAGTGCTTGTTTCTCGAGACTGTTGAGAAACTTCTCCCTTGGATGCAAGAAAATTTCCAGAGTTAAGTTTAGACCAGACCAAGTTCACCGAAATGAGTTGGATTGATTCTGTTCTGTACTTTTCTGGCATCCCAAGAAACGAATCGGAACTTCTGCTTCAGCGAAGGACTGAAGATTCTAATAGATTCTTCAAAGCAAAATCAGACTATGTGACTGATCCAATTTCAGAAGCCGGCTTGGAGGATTTATGGAAAATACTACTTGAAGAAGAGAGATCTGTATTGATACTGACACCTTTTGGCGGAAAAATGAGTGAGATTTCTGATTCTGAAACTCCTTTCCCACATAGAAAAGGAACTTTGTTTGAAATCCAGTATATGATATTTTGGAATGATGACAAGGAAACTGAGAAGCATATTGGTTGGATGAGAAGGCTGTATGAGTACATGACACCGCACGTTTCGAAGTCCCCAAGAGCTGCCTATTTGAATTATAGGGATCTTGACTTGGGGAGGAACATTGATGATGGCAATACAGGCTATGAAGAAGCAAGCATTTGGGGTCTGAAGTATTTCAAGAGTAACTTTATGAGACTTGTTCATGTGAAGACAGTGGTCGATCCTGATAACTTCTTCTGGGATGAACAAAGTATTCCTGTGTTACCATTGAGTGAAAAACTCAAATGTCAACAACAACTAGGCGGATTTGCTGCAACTGTCGAAATTCAATAGCAAAATGCTGGTGATGTTATTTGAATTTATTTGAAGATTTTATTTTCTTGTTTGATTATTAAAAACTTTCTGTTCAGTTTATACAGTTTCTGAAACACTGAGAGATTACTCGAGAAATGCTTGAAACGAAAACAGTGATCCGGAATCTCATAGAGTTAATGATAGATTGCAGCACCAGAAAGTTGGGTACTTCCATTCCTAATGACTTATTCTTGGTGGTCAAAGACTATTATTTTCTTAGTGTATATTCCGTCCTTCTGGCATCTTTCTTTTAGATAGATAACAAATAGGATTCAGATGGATGACTTAGATAGTCACATGCAAGCTTTAGTTTTCTATTTTCTGTGACTATGCCTTAATATAAATTTCACTCGGCAATTTTAAAATAAGTTCTGAGGAAACTTTAATTTGTATAGAACGTGGCTTGTAGTTTGCTACGTATTCCCTTACGTATACGTCAATCATTGCTTTTGTCTTAGCTATACATTCAATGGCTGCAAAGCTCTTTCAGTTCACAGTACATATACAAGTAAGCTCAGAGCTCATGCATTTCATGTGTACAGAGAAAATAAATAAGGTAATCTTACACATGAAACTACTTCCAATACTTTTCATCTTCTCAGCTCACTTTTTCCCTCTTCAAATTCATCAGCTACAGAAAGGTTTCTTCAATGTTTTGCCTCTCACTACGAGGGCCTATCTTATGTGTCCGAAGCTCCTTTCATCATCATTGATCTTTTGAATCTTTGGTCTATCGATGTTGACATAGAGAATGAGAGTGGTTGGGTTGAGTCAGGTGCTACTCTCAGTGAGTGTACTACACAATTTCACAGAAGAGTAAAGTTCATGGATTTCCAGCAGGGACATGTCCAACTATCGGTGTGGGGGGACATATTAGCGGAGGTGGAGTACATATTCCGAAAATATGGTCTAGCATCTGACAATGTTATTGATGATAAGATTGTTGACGATGGCAGGATTCTCGATAGAAAATCCAGGGAGAAGAACTCTTTTGGGCTATGCAAGGACGGGGAGGCTCAAGTTTTGGAGTCATTCTAGCATGGAAACTTAGGTTGGTCCTGTTCCTCCATCTGTGACGGGTTTCAAAATTTCACAGACCATAGGACAAGGCGCAACGAAACTATTTTTGAAATGGCAAAACATAGCAGATACACTTCATGAAGACATTTTCCTACATTCAGTCATAGGTGTTGGAAATAAAGTGGCACAAATGGTGAAAAAAACTATTATAATTGAATTCGGTTCCTTTTAATTGGGCTGGCCTAGAAACTTCTCTCCATGATGCAAGACAACTTTCTGGAGTTGAGTTTAGACCGCAGCAACTGCACTGTGCTGGGTTGAATATGTCCTATACTTTGCCGGTATCTCAACAAACGAGTCGGAAGCTTTGCTCAGGAGAACTCAGCAATCTAAGAGCTTCTTCAAAGCAAAATCAGATTACGTGAGCGGACCAATTTGGAATCTGGCTTGGAAGGTTCATAGAAAAAACTGATTGAAGTTGAAGCTTTTGTTGATATTAACACCTCATGGGGGAAAAATGAGTGAGATTTGGGATTCGGAAACTCCCTTCCCACATAGAAGTGGAAACATATTCCAAATCAAAGTAATATATGGTTTCTTGGGATGAATGGCAAGGAAACTGAGAAGCATATTCGCTTGATGAGAAGGCTTATGAGTACATGGCACCATATGTTTTAAAGTCCCCAAGAGGTGCTTATTTGAATTACAGGGATCTTGACTTGGGAAGGACAGTGCTTGTAATACAAGTTATGGACAAGCAAGCATTTGGGGTTTGAAGTATTTTAAGAATAATTTTAGGAGAATTGTTCATGTAAAAACCTTAGTTGATCCTGGTAACTTCTTCAGGGATAAACAAAGCATCCCTGTGTTTCCATCAAGGAAGAAAGTAGATGAGTTGGGAACTTTAGATTAGTTTATCCGTCTATCATACTAATGAAAAGTGTCATCTGTTTAGAGGATTAACGGAGATTAATTCTCAATAAAAAGTCACAAGATGCAAATCATCTACCCCCAAACCCAAAGGATAGGGGACTAATACTTTTGGGAGCCCCCTAGCCGTCCCCCTAAATTTTTTTCATTATTTTATACTAGTGAAATCCATTTACACATTAGCAAATATCAGCAAATTGGTGCTTGATTCCAAATTAATGCACTCTTCTGGTAGTTGTACATGTCATTTGTTGGGATTGCATAATTATCTTCCGCTTCTGGTGTTATCCGAAATTTGGAATCAAATGTTCAATACGCTTCGAAATTATGTCAGCCATAGAAATTGCCAAGAAAGTTTCTTGCCCCAAGAACATTTTCAAGGCTTTAATGCTGAGTTTCTGACTATTCTGCTGATTGTTAAGAATAAGATGGACTCTAACAAGGATTTAAGCTACCATGTTTAGTGGGCCACCGAACCGTGCTTTGATAAGAAGTAATTATATCAATATTATTACCTTGTCATGGCATTTCCTGGGATCCGAGCAAACCCACGAATCTCGCCTCAAAACAAAACATTTGGTAGCTGCATGTCTAAACAGTGGGTGTGTTCCTTCTTTACATTCTTTATGGACTTGGACAAACTAATTAGACTTAAATGTTAAAATTGTCCTTGTGTTATAGTCATACGATCAATTTAGTTTTTGTATTTTGATCAATTTGACTAATTTAGTCCTTGTGTTTGTCTCTATTAACCAATTAAGGACATTTCATTCAATGTGTTTTGAAAAATTCATAAGAAAATTCATATGAGAAATAATTACCTATTCTCTTTATAGAAAAATGGAAATCAATGAAAAATAACACATATAAGAAATAAAACTTATGATCTATAAAAATGATTAAGATTGTGACATAGAAAAGGGAGGGGGTAATGTTAGGGAGGAGATTGGAGAGTTGGGAGGAAAATAAATTTTCTTTTAATTTTTAATTTTATTTCATTTTAAATATTTTAAATCAAATATGTTATAATTTTATAAATAATTTATAATGATTTTAATTTTTTTTACATAAATTAGATGAAAATGTTCTTAATTAGCTAACAGAGATAAACACAAGGACCAAATTGGCCAAATTGAAAACACAGAGACTAAATTGACCCAATGACTAAAACACATAAACCATTTTAACATTTAAGCCAGCTAATTATTAAGAAAAACTAATCTTTATAAGAATGCTTTGGCTCTTTAAACCCTTTACAAGTGCATGATATCATTAGTGTGGAGTCCAAATTTTCAACTTTCATAATCGTTGCTGATTCTAAACTTGAGTGTGTAGTATTGTTAATAACTTAGCACAATGTTAGCTACACATATGAGCTCACTCCACAAAACGTTTAACTTTTTAGATTTTTCATTCAAAAATCATCTTTGATTCCTTACGAAAATTAGTCTAAATTAGGGAAAAATTTAGAAACTATTTTAATTATAGTCCATACTCATAATAAACCTAATGACCAACTTAACTAGTCATCACCAATACCATATTCCCTTCTAACATGGCGTGCCTTGACATTATTCCTAGTGGAACTATATATGTTTCCAATAACAGTTAACCCACCAATTAAATTCCACTGTGCATGTGAAACTAAACTAGTGGTCATAGTTAAAAGAATAAACACTTATTTTTAAAGAAAACTAATGAAAAGGGTTTTGAAACTTTTAGTTTTAACGATAAAGACAAAATAAAGGGTAAAATAAATAGTACCAGGTTTGACTTTTTAGTGTAAAAATATGATTTTTCGTTAAAGACCGTGGACTTTTCGTTAAAACTCTCTTATTTCTAATCTGTACATCTGTAATAATATTGGTAATGTACTGACCAGTTAGAGGGGTGGAAAGTGTATATGAACACAACTAAGGAGGCAGATATTTGAACATGTATGCTCACTGTGGGGACATTTATCAATATTTCAGTACAATTGCATACAAAGCATATGCGTTTGGTAGGTGATTGAAGTTGCTTTCTTTGACATTTGCATATTGAGTAGCTTCCTTGGACCCTCCGGTGTCTCTGGAATCAACTTATTAATAGCTTATGGTGTCGATTCATCGTTTGACATCCAAAACCCTAAAAGTTGAATGACCTTGCATATTGAGCGGCATGATTTTACTGCAGATGAGGGAAAAATAAAAAATAAAAAAATGCTCTCACTGTTTAGAACTAATTATTGGATATGACTATAGCATAACACATGACATGCTCACATAGTATTAAGTATTCATAAAAGTTATTATATGAGAATAATGATTTTAACGTGCACAAATAATCATTCATTTTTTCACTTCTTGTGGTTGAGCCCCTTAAATTGTAGAGTTCGGAATAACATTTCGGGCAGCCTCAAGTTTTTGGTCGGTCCTAAGTACAATTAACTTTTGGTGTCCTTTTAAGACTAGATTCATCATCTGGAGAGTTTGTTGAATTTAACTCTCTTTTTGGTTTACTCGACTTGTAAAGTCTAAAACTATTATGACTTTAAGACCATCATCAAAGTAGATGTCAAATTTTAAATCTAAAATTTAAATTTGAAGATTTACGTGGCACTTTGACATTTTTAAAATTTTTGCTCTCCAACCGATATGTCAAATTTTAAACATAAAATAATATTTCATATGTTTTTTCTTTGCATTGGGAATGAAAAGAAACAAAAGGATAATGCTTTAAACCAATATAAAATTAATAAAAAGCATTTAATAATTAATTAAAAAAATCTAAAGGTGTTGTCAAATTTGGTAGCAAGGGAGAGAGATGTCAATCCATGTCATGCCGCATCAGATTTGGTTTCTCGGTTGGAAAGCATTAATACTGACTTTTGTTATTGTTATTGCTGATTTGAATAATTTGACATCTCTTTTAGAGATGCTCTAAGATAACATTTTTAGAAAAAATGTCGGCAATGACTTTACTTGTCAACACTTCCTCTTGGTTTAATATATAAACACACAGCATATTACCGAAAATGAGATATGAATATGCAAGGCTCTGTACAACTTCTTACTAATGTTGTAGCATTTCTGTAGTAAAGAGTAATTGAAAAGGGAGACTTTGGATGT